TGAATAAGTATATCTATACATATAATAAATTTGTAACTAAGCCGAATCTCTATATTTTATATATTTTTTGGAAAATCTGTTTGAAAATAAAAACCACTGAAGGGATTTTGAGGAAATTTGGTATGATGATAGCTGGTTATCCGGGTCCAATATATAGATACTTTTTACTGCGGGAAAATATGTCACCGCTGAGTCATTAAAACGTAAGCAGGGTCGAACCCGTGCGGAGACAGGGTGAGTCGATAGTTATGGGATAAAGAAATAAAACGCCATATTTGTTGATAATGACCTGTATAATTACCTATGTGTAAAGGAGCGGTATGTACAAGGTGGACATCGATATATTTATGCCTACCCTAAGTCTAGTCTTATTAAAAAAATTGTTGTCAAACAAACATTATAGTGCTTAATAAATAAAACTATTTTTTCGTTTTTTTTTTAATTTATAGAGACATCTCTCCCGTGACCATGATTGCTGTAAAGCATTCGAAACGTCGGGAACCAAAAATCAAAATAAATCCGCGAAAAAATTCGAAAAGATAGTTTTATTTAAAATGTCAAATATTCACCATAAATCTAAGAAAATATTACAGTGCATTATTATAAATAATAATCTCTGAGAGCTAAAATTTAATTTGTAGGTTAATTAAGTATTGAAATTACAGATGTTTGAAAATAATAAATAACATAGACAGTTTTTTATTTTTATATTATAATATTAGCTCTCAAAGAAGACCATAAAGCACCATTTACTTAAAAAATGATGATTTTTAAAAAATACGAAAGAAAAAACAAATAAATAACATAAAATGGTCTTTATAACGATATGAAAACGTGAACATGCCAATAAAAAGAAATAATTAAAATATAGATAGTTTGGATTAGACTTATCCTTTATTTCTTTCCATTGTAAAAGTACAGTGTTTTTCAAAGATATAAAATTCAATAAATTCAATATTTATTTTAAAAGCTGCCAATTATCATCAGTTTATTCCAAACGTTAGGATTATTCAGTTATGAAAAATTAATTATAATATTAATAACATGTATATGTAGTTAGTGAAAAATCCATGATATAAAAAAATTGAGCATACCACGTATAAAAATTATAAATAAATATGTTGGGACACACAGCACCATCTAGTTCCATGGTAAGCTACGAGGCCTGTGTTTTGGATACCAGATAGTTGATACACTACATATATAACTTTTAATACATACATATTATAAATATAAACACCCATGACTGGAGTACAAACATTCGTGGTTATCACACAAATGAATGCCTCCAACGGGGCTCGAACCGACCGTTGGCACAGCAAGTAGGGTCACTACAAACTAAGCCAAACGTGTCGTCAAATTATAATAGAAAACCATTTTGTGTTAATAAATAAAGTCAGCGTAGCGTGATGTTAAATGCGTTTTTAAAATTAATGTCAGACAAAAAACTACTTCCCACGAATTTGCAAACAACAATGTTTTATATCGTGTGAAACAATCTTTATTAATTATATTCTCAATAAATCTTATTAATATAAAAAATTAAAACACAAAATAACAAAATGATTAAAACGAAATTATTTTGTTATATCTGATATTTTAGAAATTTTAGTTAATTTTTAAACCTATATAGATGCCACAAAGAAAAAGTATTAAAAGCAGCTTAAAAATTAATGTAAATTATGTCTTGTCTTTGAAATAATAAGTGTTATTTTAAAACGAGTGCTACATTAAATAGGATACGTTTTGCATTTTGCATTATAACCTATGTTATGGGATATTAATAAATCTTACGCCTAACAAACAGTCGCGGAACGTACGAATCGTATCGAATTAACCTTATGAAATTAGTTTCATTAGTACCATTTGAATTGATTTTGTAAAACGCTTAATTCTATTTTTATATAATTTATCATTCCAATAATCTGTTATCCTTGTCTCATGATTTCAAAATTTCGACTTTGATTAGAGGAAGGTTTATCGATAAGACGACATTTCCGCTTCAGAATAACGAAAAAATTATGTCATACCTACCTTTTGATCATTTCTTTATATATTCTGAAAGTGGAGAGTATATGTCTGAGAAAAAAACTACTTGTGAAACGCAAAACTTTGGTCTAACTGATAACTGGTCTCGCATTTCGTCCAAAATGAGACATTTTCAGTAACTTTTTTACTTTTTTTATATAGCGCAGAATGTTAGCAAATTAATTTTTAAATATATTCTGTAGTAACATAAGAACATTAAAAAAAAAGAAAGTGTTTCTTATGTACGCTTTATGTAAAAAAAACGTTGAATGTTAAAAAATGTCTTATTTTGAACGAAAATCCCAGTTAGACCAAAGTTAGGCGTCTCACAAGTAATTATAATTGTAGTTTTTTTTTTCTCGCATAAATATATTATCTTATCATGCACACAGTGTACTTTCAGAATATGAAAAAAATGACTAAATCGTATGACATATTTTTGGAGTGAAAACTTCTATAGGCAGGTTTGTATGGGGAGTAAATTCATGTAAGTCGTCATCGACATGGTCACGTGACGTGTTAACGCTAACGGAGTACCGATAGATGTCAAAACCAGATAAATGTTTTAATTTACAAATTTTAATTTAAGATCAAACAATTAATTTGAATATCCAAAAATAACAACTGTTTGTTTATAGTTTTAAGTTTTCATTTATGTCGGCAGTCCTCATGACTGCTTTTTTTTCATTATTGTCGGGCGAAAAGGATGCCTTATACCCTTCCTTTAATATGAAACTAATTTCATAACATATTTTTGATGAAATTCAGATCCGTATATCAAATTGTCATTCTTTTAGTATTTCGATCTTTATTGAATACATGAACATATTTGGTTATTGATTACTATGTATAAGTTAGTTATCTAAGAGAATTTACAAATATAATGTACACTTTCTTATACTAAGTGAGCGTCGCTATTTAGTTTACTGTTTTACGGCGTTTTGAGGAATGTTTGTTTAAATATAGAATGTCAATATTATCTGTATTTTATGTGTTTTTACTTTCGCTAATCTATATTTAAATTAAAAAAAAACGATTATGTCAAATAAGTTATTTGTTCATAGATTTATGTTTTTTTTTAATTTGATAATTTAACTGTTAACTCAAAATACAGATAATATTCACAATAGGATACATTTTTGAGTTTTGATATTTTTTTTATATTTACCTCTGCATCAATTGTAGTCATGTGTCACGAATTTACATAAAAATATAACATTAAATTACTAATCGATTATATTATGAAAATTACACCATTACACTTAAATTACGACTATTACACATAATTTAAATAAATTAATTGACTGAATTGTCATATTAAATGAAAATGTTAGGCTTTTTATTTAAAAAAAACACATCGCACAAATTACATACTGTAGATTTTTATTTTTGAGATTTGAATATTTATTAATCAATTAATTTTATTAGAGAAATTTAATTTACTTCTTATTTTTTTTAATATTTTATCTAAATGGAAAATATATTTTTTAGACTAATATAAAAATCTACAATATGCAATTGCAAAACAAACTGTAATTTTAAGCGAACATGAGAATTGAGAATAAAAATTCGTTGCGTACTGACGGAAATTATTATTTAAAGATAACCAAGATGGCGACTATTTATAATGGTCATAGCCAAACATTAAAAATACGATTAAAATAAAAAAAGAAACCCCATTATAATAAAAAAGTAAAACTAAAGGAACACAAACAAAATTCGTCTTAATGTGATATAAAATTTCAATGGAAGAAGATTTGTTAGTTATAATTTTTAACTATCGAGCTTTAAATTGAAACCTTGGAAGCAAAAATTCCAGATGAATCTAGAAGCATCTTCGCTTGTAAAAATATATAAGTTAAACAATATGAATGATTATGAGTTATTAAAAGTAGATATTTGATTATTTTTGTTGCGAAAATTACCTGGTTTCCTACACAAGGTTTCAATCAAAGACAATAAATAATATATTTTATACATAGACAAGATATGGACGTGTCCATAGACTATCATAATCTATGCGATGAGGAAACTCTATGACCGGCAAATATACAACAAAGAAGCGGATGGCACATTTATTATTTTTACAGTACATTATACAAGATTCATTCAGATTCAACAATTATTAGTTATTACTCCCAAAACACTCTCGATATAGATAATGTCAAACGCACAAATGAAGCGATCTGTACTTTGGATACAAAACATTTTTTAATGTATCTATAGTGCTTTCTCCTTCGTTTTAATCTTATTGTATTCTAATCTCATAAGATCAGAAAGAGATAGCATCACAAGCATTTCTTTCTATGTTTGTTATTATTTTTAAATGAAATTATTTTTAAGGAATTTCAGTCGTATTTGTAACTCAATACACGACTTGAAATTATTAAAATATTTTCATATATAAATAAAGTTATGTTATGTATGTAGTACACTAATATTTTTGAATTTGTAATAGTTTTGTCTCTATCCCTCACTTAGAACTACAAGGATGAAAAGAGACAGCGCTAGTAATATTACTTTCACTTCAAACAGATCGCTCAATATGTGCAAAAAGTACACCAAGACACACTCGACGATAAAAACTTGGTCTTAAAAATTGATATTTTTGATAAAAATTCAATTCACACATTTGTGTGTCGAACAACATACCGTACACTGTTTGTACGTACATACAATCAGTACAAGTTGATATTTTTATAAATTGTATAATATATATTCGTTTCAGAACTTCAGCCACATGCAGGAATTTGTGTAAATTAATTCGAGTTCATCATTCGCTATTGATTTAGGCGAGTTAATTAAATTACAATTCGAAAACAAAACTGTCAAATCAAACAATTTTAGTATTGCAGGTGTAAAATAAATTAGTGTTTTATATCTGAATTTTCAATTTATTTCACAGTTTTGAGATCAAATCTGTAAAACTAAATAAATGTTTAATATACTTGTGGCAGAGTGTCTGAATCTCACGCGTAGAATTCGCGATTATTGTGGCCTTTCCCGTAGGAGGCGGCCGCGGGACTTCTCTTGGGTTCGTCTAAGGCGTATGAGCCTTCATCCTTTTTACGCATTCTGTATACTATGAACATGACCACTAGTATGGCACATAGCAGTCCTACGACTGCTCCGCCTATCACAGCTGGAAAGAAAACGTTTATTAATACGTATAACTTTTAGTATGGAATAGATAGACTATATATTAGTGTATATGAAGGTATGATGAGTTTTATATCCCTTACATGAGAAATGATTGATTTTCCATATAAACTTTCATCCCTCTTTTCATTTAAAGGATGATTTCGGGGATAAAAACTACCCTATGTCCTTCCCAGGGTCTCAAACTATTTTCATACCATCTAAATCGGTTCAGCGGATTTTTAGTTTATCCATTACAAGCAAACTCACAAACTTACAAACTTTACCTCTTTATAATATTAAATATAAAAAAAGAATCATATACATATATATAAAGAAATAAAGAGTTATTTTGGACAAACATATTTTTATTTTTACTGATATTATATATGCATTCAGCCGTTCTTAACGTCCCACTTCTAGGCATAGGCCTTCCATTACTGCGAAGGGGATCAGGCCATAGTCCAGCAGAATGGCCAAAAGCGAGTTAGCGGACTTTATGTCTTCAGAATTTTTTTTCTTATATTTTGTTTGTGTATATGTTAAAAAAATATCTCGACTGAACCAATTTCCAGGATGTTTAATGGATTTAATCCAATAATCAATAAAAAAGTCGACTCAAGAAATTATATATTTTGTAGTAGTATTCCGTAAGAACTTTCATGTACCCAGATAGCGGAATCCGCGAACACACTCCATACAATTGTCTGAAGTATAAACACGGCTCTTAGCATAAATCTTAGTAGAAATTCAGCTATCGTGTTATATAAAGGTTTTTACAGAATACCGCTTCAGGTCAGTGTGGATAAGCTTTATAAATAGAAATAAAAAGACCAATATACCGGCAAGTATGCCAGGCTGCGCAAAGAAGCTTGTGACGCGGTCTTCGGGGTTGTTCATAATGATGACGGAGTTCTCCGCCGGCCGCGTCTCCGATTCTATGTTAGAGCCGGACTTATCTTGGTCCTGAAATAACAAAAATACATATTCAATTTGCTAGAATCGGATAATTTACGTAATACATTACTGATTACATATCTAGTATAGTAGTATACGTATAAATAAAATTGGAGTGTCTGTCTGTGTACTTCAAAATAACTATGTACTGTTACCAGTACCTAAATACCTTTTTTTTAATTTTCGTTTGTCTGTCTGTCTTTCTGTTTGTCCGGAGTAATATTTGAAACGGCATAACCGAATTGTAATGGGAATTTCACTTACTTTTATTCCAGAAATATTTAAGGTTTCAGTGAGAAAATCAAAAACCCTTCAAAATTATGCAAAGTTCGAATGTATGCTTCTAAACTGCTACCAAACCATAGTGAAGTAGTGAAATAGCTAATTTTATAATATAAATTAAATATGTAATACTAATAGATATTTTAACCGACTTCCAAAAAGGCGGAGTTTGTGTGTTCGTCTGTATGTATTTTTTTAACGTATGTTCATCAATTTCTCGTAGACAGTTTGACCGATTTTGCTGCTTTATATTTAATAAAAAAATACTTGAATAAGTTAATAAGCTAAACATCTGCATTCATTTTGCTCAGGATCGAAGTATATTCTAGATTTTCAGTATTTTTTTCCTGAAATCTAATGATATATTGATTTGAAATATATCGTGTCATGGGCTTTCCGGGTTGTACAAATAGTATTCTGGTACATTATTATTATAATTCATTGAGTTATGAGGTTAAACGATTAAAAAATTATTGTCAGTGAAGTGCCCCAAATTCTATTATCATTATCCGTTTCAATATACATAGTATAATATATTTATCTACAAAGTAGGTACTTAATTATATTTAGATTAAAAAGATACTAAAATAAAATTAATATTAAATAAAATATATAAAATAGAAATAAATAAACACATTAAATAAATATTTATAATAGAAGATAATTTTTCAATATACGAATTTTCAGACATTATATTATACAAAAATGGTACAAATTCCGCCTTTATAGTAAGTATAAATGATTATTACACAAAAATAAATCAAAATTATTGCATTGGCTAATATATGACAATTACATTCTTAATAGATATTTAATCCATTGTCTTCTAATAGCAAAAAGATCTATAACACAAGTATTACTGTTTAAAAAAAAATTAATTGGTTAAGCAAATATTTTATTATTAGGGTTCCGTACAGGTCAATATAAAAACGGAACACAGGCAGATAGTTACCCTCGTGCGTTATTCACAGCCTATTTTTCCAAATATACTTCATATGAGAAATCGAGGTTTTCACACATATATTTAGTTATGTGAGCCAATGATGCTTATAGAAAATAAATTAATTTTAAGTTAGAAACAATAAACAAAGTGAATGCAATGCTTACAATGGGTAGTACCTCTTCTGATATACTTATGTCAGGAGTCTGGTCGGGACGAGCTGGCTCTACGGGGACACTGTCCGGTGCTCCCTCAGTCTTAGTTAAAATTCGAGCTGGAACGATACAATGTAAATAATGAATTTGCAGTTTATACTTTATTTTCTTAGTTAAGTTATTCGTTTAAAAGTAAATTATTCGTTTTAAATTTCAAATTTCCAAACTATAGGTTATTAAACAGCTAACACTAAATAGTTATGTTGTAGGTTGTTGTAATCTGTAAAAAAAATATTTTTTACAGATTTAATTGTACAAGTCGAAACATGTTATTTTTTACCGACTTCCAAAAATGGAGGTTTTATGTTCGTCTGTATGTATTTTATTTTAATAAATTGCTATTCATACCAAATAGTAATTATACAGTATTGTTAATATTAATTTAAAGTAAATATATAAGAAATTAAGGTGAATATGTTATAAGTTAATTATTGTGTTTAGTTTGCCGATGACGAAGACTTTTTGGATATGTCAAGAGGCTAACTTAGTATCTCCGGAGTGGGAAGGGATTTAGCATGATATGAAAATTGTAAGATGAAGTAACTTGACAACTGAATGAACACCTAAGAGCAAATTAAATATTGAACATGCGAAAATTTGTAGAATATTATAATATTTTAAAATGGTTACAATATAAATTTTGAAATAAAACTATTTTGAATGGGATTTCAGAAACGTAAAGATCTGACTAATTACCCTGTGGTTTTGTAAACACGTCATAACATACAGTTAACTAAAAGATCGTTGCATATATTTTAAATTATAACTAAATCTATATTATAAGACATTGTATACAATAAAATAAAATATTATATCAATATTCTAAGTATTATAATGAAAGTTAAATGAATAGTTTTATTTCAACATGAAAATTGTTATGACAACTGGTACGATAATGATTGAACCATGCACAGTAATTTCGTTGGTGAAAACTTACCGAATTCCTTGAAAACTTTAAAATTTGCATTATTATTTTAATATAATATAGAATAATATATATTTCAATTAGAATAATAAAATTTTAGTAAAATTAATAAAATAAATATAATATTTAACTCAGCGTTCAGGAAACAATTGCGGGATAAGTCGCAGTTAAACAACAACTAGCGGTAACTACTCGATGATAATTAAACATAAATCAAGGTCGTACTTGTTGCATGTTCGTATCGCAATGACACCAAATTTGCGATTAAAATTTAATAATTTTTTGTGCTTCTTAAAAATAATACTAATTTTTTTTGACTAAAAAACTGTAGAATAACTGTAATATGAACAAACATACATTTGTATAAAGTGAATAATTGAATTTTCATAGAAAAAAATCATGTTCTATCCCGAGAAAATTTTATTAAATTAATATAAAATTATCTTTGCCGTGCGTTCATAATAACGGATTTTAAGCAAGTCAATCCACATCAAAATCCAACCTAGCTAATAATACCTATCAGTGTGTACTAATTTACCTAGGTATTATTGGTATAACTAATAGAAAATTACTATGCCATTAAAAATAGACGCATATTATTCAGTTTATTTACACGATAAAGTAGACAGATTAATTGTTATTATCATTTTCAATAAGCAATAATAACGTTTAAAAATAATTATTCTTATAACGAGCCCGCTTTAAATCGCTATATTTTCGGACAACTTTTTATCATTAAATTATAAGAATTGTATTGTACATTTTAAATGTACAACTTTATGGAGTAAAATATATCTAACATAAATAATACCCTACATAGATGTATCTAATAGTAGACTAAAGGAGGACATACGAATGTTTTTTGCTTATCCAGTGTTTATCTAGAAGACAGGGAAACATACAATTTAAACTCAAGTGTTTTTATCTAACTGAAACATTATTTAAAAATCTAAAACTTCAGGATTTAAAAATATATATTAAGGTACAGCTTTTTTTAAAAGTATAAATGAAAAGGCTGAATTATACGAAAAAATTCTAGTTACGAGTATATAGTGCGGAATAATAAACAAGTCTGGCTATTATCACAAAAGCTTGGATATTAAGGTATCCGTAGAATATCCTTCTGATAACAGAATAAGCTACGTAGAATAAATGTATCATGATAAGAAATAATATAATAAAATAAAATAAATTAAATGTGGAATGGTTCATTGATTTAAAAAAAATTGAGGTTTTGAATGCTGATAGTGACAATTTAAGTGTGATATTATTTAACTTTCGTTTTGAAAACGATTCCACATTTAAAATCTAACACTAATAATACGCAACAAAACTGGCATGCTTCAGCCTCTACTCACGACTGACTACATCGAACTGGTCTACTGGCAGGATAGTGGGTTCATTCGGAACCGGGTCGGGTTCAGGTTCATCCGGATAGAACGGATAATCCGGAGATTCTGGTGCATAGCCCGGCTCTGTAGTCGTAGTAGTAGTTGAGATTGGGAAGTCTTCATCATCTGGTGGCGCGTTGATTGCGTCACCTGATCCACTACGATTGTCTTCGTCATCCACACCAGGTCCGGGTCCCCAGCCGGATCCGGAACTCTCGTCGATCTCTAGACCGGAGCCATCATCGTCGATGAAGAGGTCCTTGTCGGACGCGAGTGGGTCGTCGTGCTGCTGTACTGTGCCTTCCGTCGACGGAACGCCAGTTGGGCCCACCTGGAATGTGAAAAGCACATATTTTAATCACAATATATATACTAAATATTCAACTGACTTGTATAAATAAGGATAGAAATAAACCTGCTTAAAACACGTAAATTCAAACATTTAAGATCGCATTGCACTTTTCTAGAGCGTGAAAGCTAAATGACAGACGACATAGCTATAGATTGAGTGGGCGACCTATTTCGAGAAAGTTCAACAGGGCATCAAATATGCACTTGGCAATCACCAAATATTAACCTTTGAGGTCTACCGTCAAACTTTAAGGGTTAAAATTAAAGTAATACGTAGTAATATAATATCATGAAAAATAAAACTATCTACTGTCACTATAGTGCCCGAATAAACACAACGACAATATGATCCACGTCATCATGAATGGTGGAATTATGATGAATGGACTGGCGTATGTATGAAAAGGTCACTCACCTAGGAACGTCTGTAGGCAATGCTTAGGCCTAAAGGTTTGTTATTGATAATAGGTTTTCTAAGCTTTGGCAGTGTCCTTACGGTTAGCGTTAGTTGTGTAGTGACGGTAGAAGATCGATAGCTTTCGCGGTGGTGAGGGGTGGGTGGGGCGGTAAGTTCCTGCCGCCTGCCGACAGATGCCGGGACGCGGTTTTGGAGGCTTGCTGGGAAATTTCAGGCTTTGACGTCAGAGTGCGCTACGAAAAGTGTCTCGAGCATGGCAATAGGGTAGGTGCATCGTCCATTGGGAATTGTGTAGATAAACATTTTATGGCATGAATAAAATGTTATTTAATGAATAAAAAAAAATAAACTATCTATTTAATTTATATATAAATTAATAAAAAATTGGATTATCTTCAGTTTCACCCAAAACGTAATGTTAAGTTTCTATATAACTATTTTTAAGTACCATTAATAATAATTTACGCATATTTAGTAATAAAATAATTGTAATGTCCGGATTTGTGTAAATACTTCTTTATGAGTCAAAGACATAGTTCTTTAATGAAAGCTGAAAAGTTTCTCAATGCAAAAAGGATGTTCGAAATGAGTGTCTAATAAAACACCTTTTTTTCAATAATAAAAAAAAGATAATCATATCATTTAACTTCACATGTAAATTAAAGTTATTGCTAAGCTAATACTTTCTTAGATTAACGCTAATATTGATTTCTATACATATAATAAAAGTGTAACTGATCGCTGTCTGTACATGGAAGATATTTGAGAAACACTATCATTGGGGGTCTTTATTTACGCAATAGAACCCAAAACAATGATTTTTAGAATTTTTATCTGTTTGTCGGTTTGTCTGTTTATCTATTTGTTTGTGCGTTTGTGCGCGCTAATCTCAGAAACGGCTTAACCGATTTGGATTCGGTTTTCACTAATATATTGTAGTAAGCTTCACTTAACATTTAGTATTTGTATTATTTCAATCGGTTCATAAATAAAAAGGTTACGTCAATTTAAACAATCGTCTAGGGACGAACCCGAGCAGAGCGCGGTTGATTCGCTAGTTTTAAATAAAACTATCGTTTCGGACTTTTTTGCGGATTTATTTTGATTTTTGGCTCTCGACGTTTCGAATGCTTTACAGAAATCATGGTCACGGGTGGGATAAATAGCTAGATTATAATACCATCTCAGGCTGACGCCTGTCGCTGTCGTTTTCACGCTCCGTCTTTCTCCTTTAGTCAGAGTATAGAAATGAAAAAGGTCCTTTTTGATTATAATGTTACCAAGAGGAAAAAGATACTACTCGTACTATCAATTCTTAGGTAGAAACCGTGTCACGTCATTGAATTACTTTATCCTCAGAAAACGAAGTAATTCCCATTCCCAATGAGACTGAAAGAACTAAAAGGGGTATCGTAAAGTATTGAGGCGCTTAGCAGTCTCTCATTTTTTGTGAAAAATATATCAGCTTAGTAAGCTTTATTTTGTCTATTCACTTAGAGATTTGTAAGGTTTATAGATTTATTTGTATAAGTGCTCGTTCTGTAGTCGGACTTCGACCATAATCATAATTGAATGAATGAATAATAATATTGTACCGTTTTGTTTTAGATATATAGTACTCGTAGATACTAGCGACTCACCCTCGCTCCGTTCGGGTTCGTCCCTGCTTACGTTTTAACGCTTAGTATAGATTTCTCAGAGATGAGATATTTTCCCGCAGTAAAAAGTATTCTATATGCTGAAATGGATAACCAGCTCTCATCATACCAAATTTCATCAAAATCTATTCAGTGGTTATCTCTTGATGCGGTCACAGGCAGACAGATAAACAAAAAAATTAAATTCGGCCTCTGTATCGATAATAATGACTATTTCAATAAGATTTTTCAAAAAAAATGTACAAATTCGACTCAGTCAGAATTTTATTATATGTATAGATATAAAAAAATGTTTTTAATTTTTTTATCTCATAGCATAAAGCTTGTCTATCGCACCTAAAAACAATCAATAGACCAAAAGAGGAGGAATTGAACTGTTTTACCTTTGCCAATTTATATATATAGTTCTTTTTTCATAGTAATAATATATGCGTATTCCATTATTATAAATACGCGTACCTATATTGTTTTCATTTTAATATCTAAAGCAAAGCTTTGGATTTTCCTATCATTACTTAATGTAATTTTAACTAAAACAGAATTTATAGTCGAATTTTAGGTAGAAAAAATAGATAAAGCATATTCTACTTAGGACTAAAGCTTACGTAAAAATAAGCTTTTTTCTAGGCATTTTCACGTACGACCAGTAAAGCTCCTATTAGCTACGTGGATGTTTTGTTTTTAAATAATTCTAATATATACCGTACATGCTGCCCTAACCCTTATTTCTGATTACTCTGGGATACCTATTTAATACAGGGATGTGATGAGAAATATTTATCTCGGAAAGATAATACGGATTTGACCCTATCTTCCGTAATATCCCATTTAGATAAATCCTATTACTTTAATTGGATAATATTTAGAGGTAAATCCATATGCTGTATACATTAATTTATAACGAAATAGTGAAACCAATCTGGCGAACCTTTCAGAAACCTCGGGCTTACTCCGAAAACTTAACAAGATTTAGGTATGATAATAGTGTCAATCAAATATGTTACTACAGACCAACATATGTACATACATAAGTAAGCATTATTTTTGTTTGTAAATAATATAAGTATTTAAATACTGTGTTTCGTATTGTTAATTTTTTTACACTTGTTGATTTTTTAACCGATGATTGTGACGATGATGACAGTAAGAAATAGAATAAATTCTCAACTCCATTTGAAAACGTAAAAACATGAAAATTGATAAATACAGATAATTGGGGGAGAGGCGCTGTATGCCGTAATACAAGTCTCCTAGTACGGCAACAGAGGCTACCATTTATTTTGTATCGACACAGCCTAATTTAAATTGAGGTTTAAAAACTAATTATTCTGTATAATAATATATGTTATATGTATGTTTGTTTTTGTATGTTATATTATAAATATGTAAATAAATAAATATGTTGGGACATTAACACACAGCACCATCTAGTTCCATGGTAAGCTACGAGGCTTGTGTTATGGATACCAGATAGTTGACACATTACACAGATATAACTTTAAATACATACATATTACAAATATAAACACCCATGACTGGAGTACAAGTATTCGTGATCATCACACAAATGAATGCGGGACGCGAACCCGCGACCGCTGGCACAGCAAGTAGGGTAACTATAAACTAAGCCAAACGTGTTGTCGAAACAAATAGAAGAAACAATACATATTTGTCATGCACATTGAAGTGTGTCGTTACAAGACTTGTAAATGTAAAATGATACATATTAAAAAAATCCAAATGTCTATTTAAACTATGTCAAAACTAGGATGCAGCAGTCGAACAAGTGCCTTGATTTTAGGTGACACTAAAAGATCTGAATTAGCAAAGTCTGCAATATTATGAAGTTTAAAATTTTGTTTTTCAAGTGCTTTAATGTACGTACTTGTTTTTCATTTCTTTGACTATGAGATACACAATAAGGGAAATTTTATATAATATGTAATAGTTGGCTCAGTTTGTAGTGACCCTATATGCTGTGCCAGCGGTCGCGGGTTCGAATCCCGCTGGGGGTATTCATTTGTGTGTTGAGCACGAACGTTTGTACTCCAGTCATGGGTGTTTATATTTATAACACGTATGTATTTAAAAGTTATATATGTGTAGTGTATAAACTATTTGGTATCCATAACACAAGCCTCGTAGCTTACCATGGAACTAGATAGTGTTGTGTGTTAATGTCCCAAAATATTTATATTTATAAAAAATATTTATTTATAAATACAGTTGATATATGTAATGTATGTTAATAATGTTGATATATGTACTATTTTTGGGAAAATTACAAATAATAAAAATAATACTATATATTCTTTTAGATTTTTAAGCATTAGTTCTTTTCCCTTTAAAGTTATGTAGATAGCATAATATTAGTTTAGTCAAGTTTTTTTTATTTATTATAATTAAATCCGTTAGCTATTTTTATTTATTAACATTTATTTACTTATCACTCCGTATACAAATTAATTTGTATGATGATGATGTTCTCCTAGCCGATTCCGGCCACGGCGGCCAATCTCAATGAGATTAGCCAACTGCGCAGGAGATATTATAGTGCTCAAGTGTACGCGCAGACACAAGTGCACTCTCTATTCCTATCACTCTCATACTCCGGTGGGACGACCACTCGACACGACCGGTGAGAGTTAAGGCGCAGGACCGACGGCTTTACGTGCTCTCCGAGGCACGGGGGTGAAACACCGCCAACTTCCTAACTCCGGGCTGTTACTGAGACTTACTATGATGATGATGTTCTCCTAGCCGATTCCGGCTACGGCGGCCAATCTCATTGAGATTAGCCAACTGCGCAGGAGATATTATAGTGCTCAAGTGTACGCGCAGACACAAGTGCACTCTCTATTCCTATCACTCTCATACTCCGGTGGGACGACCACTCGACACGACCGGTGAGAGTTAAGGCGGCTTTACGTGCTCTCCGAGGCACGGGGGTGAAACACCGCCAACTTCCCAACTTCCGGGCTGTTACTGAGACTTACTATACAGGAAGACTCAATAACTAAACTTGGCCCGACCCGGAACTCGAACCCAGGACCTCCGGGTGTGCAGCCGTACATGCTAGCCACTACACCACCGAGTATGCGGTATGTATACGGTATGTATACGGTAGGTAGATTAGTATATTTTAATATTTTGAAATATTATTGTTTGACTTCATGTTTAGTTCTATGACAATCTCTCTATATTATTCCTTATTCTGAGGTTGCTTAACTGCATGTAGAAGTGCATTTTCTACTACTTTTAGTTTTAAACCGACGTTGGTACGGCAATTCGATACGACAGGCGTGTACGATATTATGTCAACTACTAACAAAAGCTTTGTTGAAATGCTGAAAAAACGTCTAGGAACCTTCACTTTGATCACATTAAATTGAAGTGCTCGAAATGCTCTAAACTCACCCCATTAAGTAATAGATTTTTTTACAAAAATAAAAAAAATAAAAAAAATTGGTTGAGAAGCAGAGAGTTGAGAAACAAGAGAAAAAGCTACTGAACTATTTTGTCTATATAAATAAGATAAAGCAAACGTGTAATAAAATCTTAAATATTAATATCCTAAATCAATATCCAACATAAACATTGACAAGAACCAGTCCTTATAACAACACATAATAATATATAATGCTAGAGTATTAAAAATACAGACGAACATAGAACCTCTTCCTTTTTGGAAGTCAGTTAAAAATTGATTTCCTAAAGCAATTCTTACGTAAAACTTCAAAGAGATTCTTAGCTTATAAAGGCATTCAGAACATTCAAGATTTATAATTCTGTGAATGCAGAACTTGTATTGTTGCCACAAATATTCTTTTCTTAAATATGAAAACCAGGGCACGGGAAAATTGCGGCTGTAGATCGCGGAGACTGCAGTTAATGTCGCTAGAAAATGAGAAAAGCACGGAATCGTAGCTATCAGAAGTTCAACAACGTTGAGTGTTTCTTTGTTTCATGATAATATATTTTGTTATTAAAAATTTTTTAGTATTATTATTTCATCAGCTTAAGAAAGCTTGATAGTGGACCTAAAGATTTTTAAGATATAAGTAATAGTACCTCGGCGACCGAACTTCGCACGACGTTTTTTCGGAAAAGGTATAAAAATTACGTTTTTTTCAGAAAATACGTTAGGACCGTGTCTGTGATGTATCACGTGATGTGATGTGATATTTCGTGTACGAAATAAATTTATTTAAATATGTACATAGCTTGCTCATTTAATATTATTTAAAGGCAATAAAAATAGTATGAATAGTATAAACATAGTATGAAGTACTTGTTCTTACTAAATTAATAAAATAAGTCTATGACGTTGTTGGTTTCAATATTAATATATGTAAGTGATAATTTTGTACTAGTTCTTATTATATTTATGAACTAGCAACGATCCCTAGATATTCCTTTGAATTAATAATGTTAATCATCATATTGATATATATTTTTTTATTATTTTATAAATTATAGCCAATAAATCTTTCTATATATACATTTATCCTACACTAAAAGTGTAACCGACCGCTTTCTGTACATGAAAGGTATTTGAGAAAATCTATTATTAGATATCTTTATTAACGCAATCGAACTCAAAACAATGATTTTTAGAATTTTTGTCTGTGCGTTTGTAAAAGCGCAAATATATATAGAGATATTGCGTTAATCTCAGAAACGGCTTAAGCGCTTTGGGTGTGATTTTTACTAATGTATT